ACCAGAGAAGGACATGGATGAGATGCAGTATATAATGAGCGGCGTGGCCAGCGTGGCGGACTCGGATGGAAGGCGCCTGAGGCGTGGCTCTGGCTTCCGATTGGTCAATAAAGCCTGTTCTGTTGTACCGGTATTTTTCCTATTAGGGCTCGGGTATTCTACTGTGTGGTCGAATCAAGTCGCAGACATGTTGGACCACCTGGCCGCAGACAATCCTGTGTCTCTCTGTGTTCCAATGGCATGCGAGGAAGATAAGCAGCCAACCAGAGAAGGACACAAATGAGATGCAGTATATAATGAACGGCGTGGCCAGCGTGGTGGACTCGGATGGAAGGAGCCTGACGTGTGGATCTGGCTTCTGATTGGTCAATAAAGCCTGTTCCGTTTTACCAGTATTTTACCGATTGTAGAATACACGAGCCCTAATAGGAAGAAGGCTGGTACAATAGAACAGGCTTTATTGACCAATCACAAAGCAGGACAACACGTCAGGCGCCTTCCATCCGAGTCCTCCACGCTGGCCACGCCGTTCATTATGCACTGCACCTCATTTGTGTCCTTCTCTGGTTGGCTGCTTATCTTCCCCGCATGCCACTGGAACGCAGAGAGACAAAGGATGGGCTGAGGCCAGGTGGTCCAAAATGTCTGCGCCCAAATCCGACGGCATATTCGTAATGACATGTAATGGCTAAAGCACACAATGACTTGTCACAATCACGGCTTAAAATATGTTAAAGGTTGTAACCTGAGTTGATTAGAAGTTAAAAATTATCATAACAAAATTTTAATTTAGGTCATATGTTGGGATTATGACAACAACAATTTTCGTGTCAGATTAAATGAGGTAAATAGGAAGTGTGTCATTTTCATCAAGTTTTATTTAAGTGTACTTGAGGGCAGATTACAGCAATTTTCTCTTTAACGTAAAGGTAGTTTTAACCTCAGGATCAAACGCTAAACGCAACTCTTTTTGTTAAGCCTTGGATAATAAAGCAAACTTCAAGAAGAAATTAACCATGTATACCTTAATGCACATATCATACTGGAGTAGGGACTTTAAACACGAGTGGTAATATAGGGATTTTCAAAAAATACCAATACAACTGCTTTTAATATTTGAGGACTCAGCGGATTACAATGCTTCTTGGTAAATGCAATTGTCTGTTAGCTGCATTTCGAATCCCGCAAAATCTACCAAGCATTATTAGAAGCTGGCACCAATGTTTTGTGATAATAAGTCTGCTTGAAAGTTCAAGCCAAATACCAGCATTTAGAGTTCGTCTACTGCAATTGATTTTGCTAAATAAGTTGCCAAAGCTATTTGCTCATTTTCCTCTAGATTTGTAAAGCCCTTTGCTATCAGATAATATTGATTTTAATTAAGGCTAAGGCTATCATCTAAATCCACTTAGACTCACGGAGTATAAATTTGATTATCTTATCCCACACATACTGACCTCAAAATTCTGTAATAGGATTCACGTTTGCGCGCGCTTTATAAGCTATTGTGGCTGTGATTGTTAGTCTTAGTGTTTTCGAAGAATGGGGTACCAAAGAGAGCTTGAAACGTAAGTCCTTTTTTGACACCTTTTTACGCCTGCTTTCCCCCAAATAATCTTTTTAGAATCGTGATTTTGGGTCCACTTGAACGTTTCTGGTTTTGGAATTAACGACAATGTATTTTGAATTAACTTCTGTCCTGAGTCACTTTGTAGCTAGATTTTTTCGTGCCCTGAACCTGAATGTTGAGTTACATAATGAGAAATCGTTATGTTTTCAAGCGGAAATCTGTATAACGCTGTCAAAACGTTGTATTACTACTTTTTATTCTCTACGCGACTCTATACATTAATCAGATGTTCATTTTATTAAATACTTTTTTGTAAGCCCACTTGACCACCCTACCAAGCAACAAAGTCTGAATTTAAAGCCACCATCTTAAGCTTTGGTAAAGTATAAGAATCTAGGTCTTCTTCCCTTAACTTAAGTTAACCGATGTGATAATTTAGTGTTCTTGAACAAGCAACGTGCCTACCAGGAAACAATCATCGATCAGTCTGCAGGTTTATTCATAGCTTTAGGTCACCGAAATGTGAAATTTCGCAATATTGTTGTTTTGCGCGCTGCAACTTCTCTTCCTGTGTTGAAATTCTGTCACACATTTCTTTCGACCTAAAATAGTGAATATGACACTCGTTTGTGTGACTTGTGCTTGCTTCTGTAGCTTGAGATTACTATTTTTCGATCCTTTAGTGCCTAGATAATCAATATGGTTCATTTTTTTATTATAGCAGTTTTAAGGTATTGACATGCCACTTCATAAGCGTAGTTGTGTAGTTTCCACTTTTTTTCCAACAGTTCATTAAAGTTTTGGAAATAGTCTATAAATTCCTTGTGTAAAGGTTGTTTTGAAGAAAACTTTGCCTTGAATTGCTGACTGCATCCTTATGAGTCTACCTACACACGTTTTTCCGTTTCTTTGTGATAGTTCTGTACACATGCGTCTATATTCACTGAAGAAAATGCAGATCTTCTTGCTTGTCACCGTCTTATCCTGCATAATTCTTATCTCCGCCGTCATTGGTTCACTAGGGCCCCCGGTTCTCAGTCGCAACACCCACTTCGGCAGTCAACTTTTACCCACAGACAGGACTCTTGTCACCGGATTTTACAAAATTCATTCTGATCCTGTCTTGCTTTACCAAAAGGAACTGTGGCTTTCCGCCGTAATACACCAAAGTGAACCCCCTGGTAGGTTTATTTTGTTGCGTTTTTTACTGGTGACCGGAACGCCTGCTCGACATCAAAAGGCCCGGTTGTAGGTATGGAAGATGATCGAAATAGAATGAATTTGAGAAGTTAGCAAAGCGTTTTTTTGCTTTCAGGCGTTTGCTGTTTCAACCCCTTTTAATGGGTCATTATCACTGCGATACACTTTTGTATTCTCTTATAGTCGCAGTTTCGCTTCCGCTCACAACGACTGTCTCCGTAATGTGTCGGTCATACTCACCACAAATATCGAAAACTGGAACAGACGACGCAGACCCAGAGTTAGGTGAGGTGATTTCGATTGAGAAGTACCAGAAGAACATCACTCTTGTTTGCGGCGGTGGTCAGGTAACCCTTTTATTTCCCCCTAAATTTGGAGTTTCAATTTAAAACAGAATCACCTCAAGTGGTAGACTCTCTAGCCTAACCTACTTGATGGAGCTCTGATAGTGTTGGTTTTCTTCCATTTCATGTTGTGTTCAACATTTTTTATCATGCCTTGTTCTGTGGCAAATTAGCTAACAAATTGTCCTGTGTAATTATCATGCGCTCGGCAATCAACGGCAACAATAACTGCTGATTGGTGTTCGTTCCAGGTTTTAATCTATAAAGGCATTTTGACGGGTAGTGATAAGCTGCCCAATGGGATTGCAAAAATCATTGAGCAACTTTTAATATTAAGCAGATCTCATCATTATTTGGTAGAGCCTGCTTGTGGCTGACTGGTAAAATCGGTCGCAGTGAAGGCTGCATGCATTATTGATGCTTTCTGAGGTAATGATTGCACGTTCACATTTTGCGCAGACCTAAAAACGGTGCGAAGAACGCTCTCACGTCTGGCATTCCCTTGAATAGGCTTGCAACGAATTCCAATTGATACATCTGGCCTCGTTGAACTGCTCAGTGTATACCTTCAAAGTGAAACTCCAGGGCCTACCGTCTGCGACTGTATCAGAGAAGGCGAGCGAGTTTGACGACGTCGACGAGCTGCAGGAGCCTCGAGGTCCTGCCTTCGAAGTCGCCGAGATTGAGTTCATTACGCAAACACACAACACGTCTTTCAGTTACTTCGAACTCCTATCGCGCTTCGTCGCCTTCCTCGGTGCCTTCGCGCTCCTGGTAAGTCCCTCAAGGTTTTATTCCACCTCCGGGACTCAAAGTTATGTGTCTTAACAACTTCAGCTCTGCCAAACGCATAATTTCCAAGACTGCTTAAAATATGAGGTCTGTAAATTGATTTGTGCACATTTTTATTCGAGCTTAAAAATTGTAAATAAAAAAAAAAGTATTGTCGTTGCCTTCTGTGATTTTGAAAGGATCGTACGCAAGATTTCAGAACACTGAACAACAAGTCTATGTGAGTTACATCACCTCGCTGAATGGCAATATACGATGGCAACTGATAAACAGCACATTCCAGGAAGGAAAAAATTGCCAAGACGGCGAAAATGCTTCATCGGTAGCACGGGATTCAATTTGAAGTGTTCTTGATGCCGATGCTGTCTTATGAAACGTGTATTTATTTGATACACGAATTTTAGAAGCGGTGCTTTCGATCCTAGTGAACAGCCTCGCCCAGGACAGCCTAAACTTTTTTTAGATGCGGAATCTCAAGTTCTACTGGATGAGGACTCAATGCAAACGGAACAAGAGCTTGCAGATCAATTAGGAGTCACCCAAACAGCTGTTTCCAAGCTTTTGCATCTAATGGAATAAATCAAAAACTTGGAAGATGGGTTCCACGGGTGTTGACCGCCCACACAATAGGTCAACCCAGCAGTAAAAAAGGAATTCTTGTGGAAATTTGTGGCGGATGATGAAAAGTAAAGTTTTTCTTACGACAATCCCAGCCGTAAAATGTGGGTGAAATTCCTGCAACCCAGGACCTCCACCTGAAGAGGGTTCTCCCGTGTATCTGGTGGGACGTAAAGGGGTCTTTATTACGAACTCCTGGAAACTGGTCAGACTGTGACTGTGATTGAACAAATTGAGCAACGAATTTGATCAGAAAAGACCATTTACTGCACAATGAAGCGGGCAAGTCATACCGAAGCTGCGTGACAACGCTCGATCACCTCACGTTGCTCACACGACCCATAAGACTCCCTTGAACTTGGGATGGAAAGTTCTCTCACACGCGCGACATATTCACCGGACTTGGCCCCATCCGACTACACTTTGCTTCACTTAATGTATCAGCACGCCTTAGTGGAGAAAAACGGTCCCTTAGACACTGGCGATGTGCGTAAATTCGCCAATGACTTTTTTGCCCCGAAGCTCACAAATTTCTCCTGCGACGACATTCGTGCATTACCTGGCGCAAGGTCATAAAAGAAGACAGGCAGTATTTCGGAGATTTACTTTTTTGCTGTGCACTATTTCGTTGAAAAATCTGTACAAATTCAGTTCTACACCCAATGTGTACCGAACAACAACAGATTGTTCCCAAAGGCCCAAAGTCCTCTTCTAATTACCGCCCTTTGCAACGCCTCTAATTAGTTATGCTAATTTTCTTCATGACGAGGTCACAAACACGCCAAACGCGAAATTTGAATGCGTTAAACCATCCACACTTGCATGGGGTTCAAAAACTCGACGACGGAAAATCCGTGCAACATCCTAAGGTTGTTGTTGTTGTCGTTGTAAGATGCTTCACTCGAGCAGATCGTGAGCTGACAGGCAGGCAGTCAAGGCGGTTTCGTGCAATAACAAGTTGTGCTTGATTAGTACCCTACGAAATGTCATTGCAATCCCTCTGCATGCAGCACTGCATTGCTGTGGCTGCACCGCAAAAGCGTGACACCCTTTAATCTCTCGAAAAGCAATGCGTGTAATGTGCGTCGCATTTCGCCTCGTCGCACTTAGCACCTTTTTTTTCTTCTTTTGTCACCCCAAATGCCTCTTCGCTTCAACAGGTGACTTTCAGCCTGGCCATGCGTCCCTTCGAATATAAGCACTGGACCATCGAGCAGAGATGGACCATTGGCATTCTCGTGCTTCTCATATTCTTCTATAGTAAGTCCTTCGCACGCTTGGCCTTCGTCTGCAAGTGCTTTTGCTCATTCCACCACCTGTCTAAACTCGTGTAGGAAATAATTTCTCTTAAACCAAAACAACGCAAAGAGAAGAGGCATTATGGTTGGTGTGGGATTATTTCTAGGCTTAACCATGAAATATCACAATTCTTTCTCTGATGGCCAAAATCAGCTTGCATTTCACTCATCCCCATGGCTCTAAACCTATGCTTTAAAAAAGCTGGTGTCACCAGTTCTAAGGTGACCCTAGCGGGCTGTCAAATAGTCTTGTGACTTCCTTGAGTTTCCTGTAGTATTTTTACTTTCAAGTGCGCTCCCTCAAGGTTAACGCGATGCAGAGTAATTACCTTTGAGTATTTTACACAGCAAAGCTCCGAAGTTCCACCAAGAAGGTGCGCTGCGTCCCACCTAACTTTGGCTCCATGTTGTTTTTTGCCTTTGTTCGGGCCAACTGTGGGGAGGGCTTGTTGAAACCCGCGGCGTCTTGAGTGTTACACCTTTTCATTCCAGATTTAACTTTGAAAATGTATGTTCTAGGCCCCGTATGTTTCACTCAGACGTTTCGAAACCCTCTGGTACTGCAAAACGTTCAATTTTGCGTCGTCGTGATGAGTTCTTTCAGGACTAACTTTCTTGCGCCAGTATCTTGTAGACAGGCTTCATTGTTGTGACCTCTGTATTCCAAAACAGATTTTCACCATTTCAACCATCGCCTTGTTCCGATTCCCAGTCATTTACTAAAGATCTATGAGCATGCTTTTTAATTCTGAAACTGACTACATTTCTCCTCCGTTTGTAGACCCACTTCACTCGTTAGCGTTTCTACTCCGCGGTTGGATTCCACAGGCTCTGGACAGCTTCTTCCAGGTCTCTTTCTACTCCGGCCTGCTGTTGTTCTGGCTCTGCGTCTTCGATGGACTTCGTGTGGTGCGCTTCCTTGTCCTTGTGAAATGCGATATTTTGGCACACGTGCTTCGACCCCAGCCGCGGCGATAGTTGACTCACCAGTTTTGATTCATTTGTTTGCGTCGCTGTGGTCGTTTTATACATATCGAAAACCGAGAGTGTTAGGTGTGAAGCAGTGAACGCTCGAAACGTTATCGAAAAGAATCAGCAAAGCGGCCGACGGGTCACGGGGGTCGGTCGGATCGCTTCCTCGGTTGACGTGCTGTCGCCGTTGAGGCTGTCTAGACGATAGCTCATCCAATCTCAGTGCGTGGTTGTCTGCTTGTCAGCTGCCACATCAGGGGAGATGGTTCAATTTTCCACTTCCAATGCAATTGAAGTAAAGTACATTGCCATTCTAATAATCCTCTATAGATATACCAACCTATCATTCACACATGCGGCTGTGTTTCGGAGTTCACGTCGTTCAAGTATCCAAGTTTAACGGTACTGTTGCATAGTTGCCTACTTTATCACAGAAGCAGTGACTAAACAAAGGAAGTATAGGTTTGCAAAAGTACGTATGGTCAGTAATGGACTACCATTTTTTCACGTTTTGTAACGAGGAACAACTTTTACAGTTTTTCTTGCACCCCGCTTCTCCCCGGTTACCCTCGATGATTCCAATGCACCAATTGCAAGCAGGCTTCTCGTACTTTTGGTTTGGCGCCGTTCCTATTGGCTAACGGTCAGCGACAGCTGATTGTCCTTTGCGCGGTCGGCGCAATTCCTTTTTTAGCCAAAGTTTGGTTTAACATTTGAATTTGAATGTATTTTTAAGTATCGTTGGTCGATAGGCCCTCACGCCTTTCCGTCTCTCTCTCTCCCTTGCAGAGTCAAAGGACGTGTTGTGGTTTTTACTGCCTGCGCCTCCTCCTCACCGGTGTCATATGGCTGACTATTATTGCATTTAATGGCTGGCTTATCCATTCCGAACACACCGACCCCCTATTCGCATTGGCGTCGCATGCCACCGCCGTCAAGGTACGTCTGCAGAACCACTGTCTCAGTTAACAGGAGAGACAACTGTAGAGCAAGTGTAACCACCGTTCTCGTCCTTGTGCGATGGGTCTTGAGTTAGGTTGCCACGTCGCCCAATCTCCACCTAATGCACTGAATCCAATCGCTCATGCACTATTCGTTTATTTGTCGAACAGCCGCACACTCGTGTAGGAATTGTGTAGTTGCCTGTCACGTGGACGTATTCCTCATGCCCTTTACGCCGAAGCATCCGCCTTAGTCTTAGCGTTATGGGGTTCCTCGAACTACCCTACGTGAGTAGTTCGTGCGCGTCTTTAACATACAACCGAAGATCTCGTTTGTTGGAGAGGACCCAGCTTAGGCGACTCGTGTTCTGAGGTTACTTTTTTTCACCTAACAGCGCAGTGCTTCACCTTGATTTTGGAAAATTCAAGTGTCAGAACACAGCTAGGCCGCGGCACGCCTGCCTTTGTTAGTTTAAGTGCAAAAACCAACTGGAAAGTTGCATAAAATTATTGTTACGTCTGCCCGTAACAAAGAGAAAACCCCCTCAAATAACGCTACCAGATCCCTTGTTGGCGGTAGAACCGACTTTCCCACACTAATACAAGAACAAGACCAGAGCTCGTGTAGAGAGCTGTATTCACGTCACCCGCGTTTGAGTGAGTTGTCAAAAGTGGAACTAAATCGAGTCAAGGTTGACCTTGACCTGATAAAAAGCGTAATAAAACACATGTTAGTGAATTAGTGTAGATAGTGCCAGAAACCAACGACGAGCAATCTTGGGGAATCGTGGATCCCCAACAAGTATTCAAGACCGGAAGCTTCAGCTGCTTGATTTTTCATAACGGGAAGCCATTGAGGTAATTAGAGACCTACAGGTGCATTAAATTGTCCGCTTAAATTTAATGCTCAGTGCACTCATCTACAACCTCCGCATTCTTGCATACACTGGAATTGGGTGATCCTGGAAGTAAAAACATCTTTTTTGTGCAAGTTGTTTTCTAAATGACATCATAAGCACGGAAATTCGGTACATTGTTTAAGTAACTTCACTCGCAGCATCCAGGTGCATGCTCACCTTAATGTGCTTCCTAGGTGTACGAAAAAAACTTCTAAGTTAAAAATAACCCGACATCTCACAGCGAACATGTGTCAGGTTTTAGGGATTTTTACATGCCCTTTCAAGTTATTTTCGTAATTACTAAGAGCACCCACGCTGCGGCGCAGTTTAACCTAAGCAAACAAACACTACGGATTCTTACAACTGTTCGGGTAATACTGATCTGTGTATGCACTTGTCTAGTTTGATTAATCAGTGAGCTCGACAAATTGGCGACTTCAATGATTGACTAGGATCCTGGTTAGGTTCTTAGGTGACGTTTGTGTCTGGACCAGTTGTACAGACTCGAGTGAAATGTATGATCAGCTGTTTGCGCTCGCATTGTCTGTCTGCTTGCCTCATCCACTTCAAAATTGCCGTCGTTTGTGGGCATTTTTTCATAACCCAAAAAGGCAGCGCGGTTATCTAGTTTGTGTGTGTGTGTGTGTGTGTGTGAAAGATACGTACTGCGAAGATTCGCACTTGCAGATTCTCTCTTTTTTTAGGTCTTTGTGGCACTGCTTGGTGTGCTAGCCTTCATCTACCTCCTGTGCTTTCTCATCCTTCTCTTCCGATCCTACTCTGAACTTCGCGATATGCCGTATTATGGTAAGGATGGTGTCTTGTCACGACGCAGTTTAATGTACTTCTCGATTCGAGGTTTCCACTGGTGCCAAAGTTAAGCCTCTGCCATCTGACACGTCCATTTTGGTATTCGGGGGATTTCAAAGATGTCGTCACAACGGGCTAGGCTTGTTTCGTTCAGACCCGTTAACTACTCCGATTCGTCCATCTAAGCTTATGCGCGTCTGGTGTGTTTGTTCGCAAAACGGTGGCTCTCTTGGGGTTGCCTGGCAAGCACCTGAAATCCTCGAAATTGTAACAGAGCGAAAACACGACTTGAATTTAGCCTTTAACTAAATCCGAACCTCGTCTCTTCTTTTTTGAGGCACTCGTCTGTGTTACGCATTGGCGCCCATCTTCCTCGTGGTGATTGACTTCTTCGTTGTGGCCGGTCTGCGGTTCCGTCCAAGCGGCACCTTCTTCTACCGTCCAGTCACAACTGATCTGGTTGTCTTCGATGATGGCGAGCAGACGCCCAGCGGCATTGCTTTCACCCTCTACCGCTCCGCCTTCGAACTCTCCTTCAGTTTCGGCATTTTGTTTGTTTGCATGCTTATCTTGGTTGTTGCCTACTCTCCGGCCGAATCCGCCTTCACTGGTAAGTCGCTGTGGTTTTTGACCATTCAGAAGTTTTTTTGTCTTTCGATTTGAAACGTAATCATCGGAGGGTGTAATTGTTTCTTTTTTCTTATAAAGTACCTTCTCATCATTTAGCAGTATCCTCACTACCCACAATTCAAGTCCATCATCCATCTCCTGGCTTACACAAGCTCATTCGTCACCACTTAAGTAGATAATTACAAGATCTTTTTGCGTATGACACTTATGCTTTTGCGATCTCACTGCCACGTGGTTTCCGGCTGAAATTCGGTTTCCCGGTTGTTGGTTTTGGGGTTCCAATCAGATGGTATTTAACCCTAGCTCGATGCTCCGTTCCCAGCGCACAACGTCAATCCATTGTTAACGTGCCGGCAACTTACACGAACAGCCTCTGTTTGCCACAGTTGGCAGTTTTACTGTGCCAAGTATTTTAAGTGGATACGTTGCACTTATGTTGTATGCACACTCAGCTCTGTGGTTTGACAAAGTTGTCAGTTCTGCTTCTTAAACCGATTTTTGCACGAAACTATTCTTCTTCCGGTTGTATCACGTTACGAAATTTTTGCGAATGTCATTCACGCTGCGTTCATGTTTTGCAAAAATTCCAGTGTGTTCCTCTTCTCCATCGTCCACTAGTCGTGTTTTCTGATTAATAGAGGCGAATTTCTTGGACGATCCAAATGTATCAATGGCCTATGACTCCGACGAAGACGTCTTATATGGGTAAATATATGTGTGTTTTTTTATGAAATGTTTTAAGGGTCTCCTGTTATTATGCTCTCTTGGGTTCAAAATTCAAGATTCATTCCGCGAGTTAAGGCCGGGTCAACATGAAAATCGCAGCCGCCATCCAGATGGTCATTGCGGTAGACCTAACGGGCTAATTTCTGCTGTTTGCTGAGCTTCCTAAACTTCCACAAAAACTGCCGTATTGTGTGTGGGTGTGGCGCTCATATTCACCTTACGTTTGCCGTCTTAATGGCCCTGAAAAGGTTTTTAGTGGAAATTGATGCGAACCGATTTGTGGACTTAAGCGTTTTTTTCGAGGTTACCATGGTATGGACTAGACCTTACGGAAGCAAAGTCGTGCTAGGCAAATGATAGAAAGCTGGTCAATGCTATAGGTCGTTATAGCTGCAAAGTGCTGGTGGTAATTGGTGTTTTACTTACTTTTAGCTCTGATCGTGACGACATTCACCTGCGCGGATCAATTCGGAATCGTTAGGTGTTCTTGTTGCTACCTTGTCTACTCTTTTTCTTGGCTTTTGAACGTGCACTCACTCCATGGAATTTCACATACTTGTAGCATATTTTTGCTTATTTTGTTGTGTTTTGACTTTTCACTTCTATTTACCAATTTCTTGTTGTTTCTCGTGGGCAGTACAGGTTTTGTCAAATCATATTAATGCGCTATTTATGAACATAGTGCAAGTGTTATAAGAGAGCTTCCTTTGTTATGCAGTTAGGGACAACATTAATTCCCGAATAGTCGTTTGGGACTTTCAAGCCCGGGAATCACCTCGATGGAGATAGGTGATGCCTTGTACCTCAGCTTGGAATGAATGTTTGGCTAAAGGGGAATAAAGCGCATCACTCTTAACTTTCGTGCGTTAATTACAGTACAAATGTTTCAAATTATCTAGTTGTAAGACGTAGGTGGATACTTATTCAGCGTATGCAGGTGAAGAATTTGCCGTAGGAATTCCGGGCGTTTTTAAGTTTCTTCGTATTTCGGGTTCGTTGTGAGGAAAATAGGTGTTTTCGGATACTTTAAGTGTGCGGATGTATAGGTTAAAACAATAAATTGTGCGTACAAGAGAGCAGCAAGTTCCATTTTTTTGAAGGTAAGTAGATGTCCGTAATAGGTTTATGTAGCACAAAACTGGTAACTTGGTCAAATCTTATCTGAGCAATGTGGTTACTACCACATTGGTTTAAGCTGACTCTAATATAGTAGACATTTGAATAATTCCAGAAAATGGGTTGACAAACGTGTTACAAGCTCGATTCCTTACTAAGACGAATTAATTTGATTAAAATTCATATTGCTTGACTACCAATCAATTATTTAAACTGAGAACCCTAACATACTTTCTGCAGCAATGGAACATTAACTACCAGGTAATATATTACAATTGGAGGTCTGCATGAAAGATTTCGATGCATTGATGATTTTTTTGTATCTGGAACAAATATGAACCATTTTTATTTTTTAATAATGATTTAAAAGAATTAAACGTGAAATCAGCTAATTGTTACAATAGCCAGTAATGTCACAGCAATTAAAATTTAAATAAACCCTTCTCAATGAACATTTAATGTTTTTATTAATTTCAACAAGGCAACGATCTTGCACTATTTGCCGTTTCTTGTTAGTATATTTTATAATTTTGGTAAATTAAAATAAGATTTTAGAGATAATCGTCTGGCGTTTCTTTTTATATTTTGTTTGTTTGCACCGATTATATCTTGGGTCATAATTTGGGCCAATTAGGTCGGGGCAACCTCACGTTATTAGGATTTCATCTAGACCCTCGTAATATCATTCATTAATTGTACGTAAATTTTCCGTAAGGAATTAATTCCTGCTGATATATTTTGTAGGATTTTTTCAATTAGGTTAGTGCATAGATGCTTTTGACTCATATTTTAGCTAACTAGATTAATAATAGCCACTGATTAATGTTCAGTTAATAAGGACGACATTTTATATTCGTTGGCTAACAGTATGCTATTGCTAGTGCTTCTATGCACCGAATAAATAATTAATGATTGCTAACAACGTTTTGGTCGGATTACTTTGGCTTATCCTAAAGGTCTGCAAATCAGGAGTTGTGACTCACCTATCTGCGAATTAATTAAATCTGATATTATTCCAACAGTAGGTTATTTACACACGTATTGGACACCTTTTAATGGTAGTTTATACTGTTGTCAGATATTTTAGGTGCACAAGGTACTGAACTGTACCAAGGTCCTGGCTGGAATGCAAATGACTCTTGGTCTATCATGAGATTGAATCTCACTTTTTTGTATTAATTGTAATTGAATTTATCGTCAATTTAATCGACTTGAAGCGTTCAAAAATTGACATGTTAACGAATATAATCTGGTATAATGGTAGACTAATCAATGCACTTGCAGGCTTCGGTGCCATTAATTATGAAATTTCGAATTTTGCAGTCTCAAGCGGATTACAAACCTTTAGCTCAATTCATGCAACTGCATTCTGATCTTAATCAGAGACTTACAAAAATTGTGGCATTGTTGTTAAAGTGAGAGTTTCACCGTGCAATTTGTCGTGAGTACCGCTTCACGTGTCCTGTAAGACTATGAAGTACAGCTCTTGCACCTGTGGTGAATCACATATTCGCGGCTCAAAGCTTGACAATCCTGTTCTAGACAAATCATTTAAGTGGACCACTTATATAATATCTACTCGTGTTTTATACAAACCATTCGTTATTACAAATCTACCTTGTTAACTGTTAGCCACATTTTTTTTAGCAATACAATTCTTCTCAGACATTTGATATAGTTCTTCTGCGCATCGGTCATACCAAATTTGTATTACATGGAGGTATCGAGTCCACACACTGAGGGTATGTCAATTTATACATCAGGTTTGATACGGAATATTTTATGAGGTAGTTTTGCATGTCAAGTATGATATTAGCATACTGTTTCTCATCCACGCCTGACGTCACTTCAATTATTCTGTTTTTCTTTAATCAGTAAAACCTCAATATATTCCACTAATGCCTGCGTATGTTCACTGTAAGCCTATTGGAGGATATAAACATTAGTAGTAAATGATTTGTGGTACTTCACTTCGGGGTACAGAAGTCAACAGTCCACTCTGGGGTCACGCATATGCGCACAGTATCTTCTGAATTGTCATTGGCTAAAGGCTGATTAAATGCGCAGTGACACCCCCAGTCCCGCCATTGCAGCTACTGCCACCTCACCTTCGATACAGCAAAACCATTCAGGTCGCCAATTTAGTCTTTTCTGCGTCATTTAAATCAAGCATGAAAGAGGCGCAGCTTTTTCAGAGCTCCGGTATCGTCTCAAAGAGACTAAGACATTTCCAACGACCCCAGACAGACAAAGGTGTGCCATTTCGAGGAGTCAGTTTACCGAATACTTGCACAAAGTTGATTTCTGCTATCTTCTGCCAGGAGGTTTTTTATTCACCACATTTGGTGACCGGAGATTTCTTCTATGCTTGCTTTTGTTGCCTAATAAAATTGGATGAAGTTAGCTAACTTATACAAAGTGTTTTTGAAAATTTTCCTTGTTTCCTAATCAAAGCCGCCTTTTTTCTAGACGTCAGCGTCACCACTCACATCCAAGTGGAACGACGTAGACAAAGTTTTTCAACTGAGGACGATAAGGTGTCACTTGACCAGCAAAACAGACACGACAACTCCGATGCTCGACGTCATTCTACTGGAAGAACATTCGTCAGAACGATTTTACCAACTGGCACCTCGAGGTACTTGTTCTTGCTACTGTATTTGTCGAGATTTCCTGATAAATTTCACCGTGTTAGTTATTTTTTTTCTGGCAGAACACTTGGATCATTGAAAATAAAGTGTTTATTTCTTTTTGATTAAAAAACTGCGGGGAGTGTTAGCAGGCAGTTGCTAAGAGGTAGCCATTCCCCTCCAAAGAAAACTGGTCTCCTTACAAGGCAGTGATTTATTTGATAATTTCTAATGCTGACTAACTTTCTGCTGCCTGTTTGTTAATGTTTTCTGTTTACTGCGTTTGTTCTGATCATGAAACAGAGCTAATGATGACGCCGACGCCACCGATCTCACGGTCTCGGTAAAAAATGCAAACCAGACCAGTCAACTCAGTGTTGCTACTGGGACGCGGGACTCCGGACTGGGAGATGAGGAGGTCCATATGAAGGAATCCTCTCCGTCCTCGATTAACCGTGATTCGCTTGACGCCAAAGTACTGCTGCCAATCTCAACTTCCACCCCATCCGGGGTGAAGAAGCGATCAATGTCGTCACAGCAGAGGCATGACAAATCACCAACTGATCGATCGTCAACCTTTCGTTGCAGCCAGAAAGGTATCTTTGCATTTGTCTAGAATGCAATACTTCTTCATAAATCACAAGCGTTTTACAGGCGTCTCGACCTCCTAATCTATCAACCACACAGCGACATGGCAGTTCCTTTAACTGAATTTCAACAGCATCCAGTTTGAAAATTTTGCAACTGTAGGGCGACGATCTCTTAGACTGGAACTATGAAGAGCGTCAGGATCAAAATTTAGCACGACCTTCGTGTCTAACATCGTCTCCCTGTTTAAAACCTTAAAATTCCAGTTCTTAAGTATAGTTTTACCACTAGCTTGTATCTGAGGCGGTTTAAGTGGCTGTGGCAGCAAATCCAACATTCAGGTGTCTGATGAATCTCGTGTGTGCGCAAAGCTACGAGTTCTTTCATTGCCTAGCAGGTCATGCACATCATGCGAATGGGCCGGTACCTCAGGCATTGTCTTTGAAGATCGACTCGAGGGGTGCGGTCCGCTCAGTGCACGGAGGCAATCAGCTGGTTGCTCAGACCGTGGCAACAAGGCGAGCACGTGCGGAGGCGCTTGAACTCGAGCGAAGGAAGGCGCGACGCGCCAAGTGGGAGGCCGCCGAGGCTGCCATCGAAGCCGCGGCACAGCGAGCCCACAGCCTTCGCAAGGCGCGCAGCTCGGAGCTTCGTGCTCGGAATGAGGAAAGACGCGCCAAAGTGGCCGATCGACGCAAACTCATTGAGGAGGCAAGTCTGCCCGCATCTGTTCCCCTTAATCTATCTTTGAACTCCTTTTGTCTCTCTGATTTTGTGCTGTAAAGTGTCTCAGCCGGGTTTCAGAAACTGTTAAGCATGCACGTCCAGATTCCAGGTTCTTCGAGCTAATTGGGATGGAGGATGTGGTGGAGTGGGAGTATGTGCACTGCGTGTCACCTTACCTGAATCGATTGTTATATTTTTTTTCAACATTTTAGTGTGTTTGCGAAAAACATCATGTATTGAATTTTTGTTTGCCAATATTGATTTCTAATTGAACTCGACTAACTTTTAAAAACGTACAACAAACTTATAGGAAAGGAAGGTATATCTGGTTGGAAGAATCAACGCAGCTACCACGGTGAACAGCAAGCCCTTTGGCAACGCGCGATCTCTAACACTTACTAGTGGATCGAAAGTTTCAATCTGCGGTTTCGCGTCAGACCTCGATCCGAACGATCCGCGCTACTGCCCCTTTGGATTTGGCAGCTCGTGTCGTCGCGACGTCTGCCTCTCAGCGAAGCAACAGTTAGTCGCGATGAAAAGGACCTCGAACGGAAACCGTGAAACCCCTCTCTCCAAGCTCTCGACGTCCTTCACGATGGACACCCGGAAAAAACTCATTTCTGGCACTGGCGAGCGTGTGATGTCGGCGTCAATGCACGCGGAGTGGCGCAGACCCCTGGCTGACAGAAACAGGAGCACATCGCCTTGTTTTGCAGTGCAAAAAGGCAAGTCAATCAAAAGAACACCAACCCTTCTTTCTGCTGATTCTAGGCTTGGGAAAGAAATTATAATTCATGGTGGTTTTTTTAAATATCTGCAATGCATTTCACCTTGTCGCAATGGTTTTAAGGTATTTGGTGTGTAATTGCAGAACACCTTTCAAATTGTTCCATTTGTAAAAGCAGTTATCCTCTCAGTGAAGCCTCAGAAAATTTTACCACAAACTTAATTCTCGTGCCCACCTTTTGCTTTGTATCCAGCTGCCTTGGCGACGCAGCCACGCAAGCAGCCGTCGATTCCACGTGCCCAGGCGGACCCCAAACCCCCTTCAGCCTCCCTGCGGTCGTCGTATCAGTCCACGTATTCGCTGGCCAGCGGAAAAGTGGTTCGGCCCAGTGGAGGTTGGTTTTTGTCGTGGTTAACAACTTTAGATTAACACAGGCATTTTAAAATCTCACCTTTTTTTACTTAAACACCAAATTTTCAGATTCCGTTCAGTCTCTGACGCAATCGAGAATACCCAAGGTAAGTCAGGTACCGGGTTGTTTTAAACAACTTGTCAATTGTAAATCTAGTGACAGTCTAGTTATCAAATTTACTTGTAGAGGTGTGACATAAAGATAAATATTACTAAGTGCCTACCAGATTTTTGCAAACCATAAGTAAAGTGGGGTATTTTTGTGGTAGAACGGCTAAGCATTGTGTCATAATCTGATTATTTTAAGTCCTAGAGTGGGATTTTTTTGCTTAAAATTGAACAGGTTGTTCTCTTCGAGTCTTCCAGCCTGACAATTTTGAATTTTTTTTCATGAATTGGCGTGAAACCAAACGCAAATGCTTCGTAAGTCGTCGAATTCTCTCGGTGACTGGAGCTGTTGCTCTTGACCTTCATTGCGGCTAGCTTTTTATCACCTGAAAACTGCGTGTTGCTGTCTTTGGCCGCTCGTGTTACTTTGGCCAAGACATGCCTTCTCGAGGAAAACTTGTTCTCACATAAGCATGTCGTTATCTGCCACGATTTACCGCGGTTTTAAGGTTCAAACTACGCAAAAGAGACTTCTTTGCTGTTTTTTTTTTTTTTTGTTAAATTAAAGCATAAGTAAAACATTTCACCGCTATCACAGGAAGTAGTAAATTAGTGAAATTTATTAAATGAATTTTGTGAGTTGGAAACCGGTTCGTTTTACACATCAAATGAAATTCGTAAAAGTAGAGGTGTTTAACGTTAAAGTAGTGAGCGGTTTGGGGAAGTATTTTCACTGTTCTGAGAGCACAGACGTGCAACTACCCGTGTTACATGGCCTAATCGAAAATTCTACACTAACTGCGTCGTAGAGGCTGCCGCAAGTAACCAAAGCTTGTGGTGACTTTACGGACTGTTCGCGAAATTCCCTGTTGTGCTAGCGGCAATGCCACAATTCTTATTTATTTAAGTAAAGTCACTTTTTGTTACTGACACTGCAACAGCGTTCAACCTTCGTTGTTGTAGCAGAGGATGAAAGCGAAGCGAGTCAATGCATATTTCAAACCTTTTTGCTTTGTGGTAGAACGTGTAAATTGAGTTGTGCATTCGCAATACAACCCAAACCAAATCATTTGAATTTCTCATGGCCTCAATCGGTTTTTCACTGATTCGAAAAACAGAAGCACAAATTTTGTTCCATTTATGTAAAAAAACCCCTCGTCAGTGTAAAACAGCTCCTGGATTTTACTTCTATGGCTAAAATTAGTACGCAAATAGAAAATAACTCAAACTAGAAAACGCCGAAAAATCGGGAAAATATAAGCAATTTTCCATCAATAACTGCCTTTGCTCTACTGGCCACTTCCTTACTACTGCCAAACCGATTCCTTCTTAACGTGGTTCTGAAGACGCAATTGTGGATGTTCAACCCTTTTCCTTGGCCTCTTGGGCGAGTTGAATGCCAGCTATCTTCTAAAACTCACCTAACTACGTTAAAACCGTTAGTTCACACGTCTGTTTACTTGCACACACCTTTTTGTTGTTGTTGAGTCCGCAGAACAAGCTGGTAATTTTGCAAGTTATGCTAGGAAGATTACTTTAATGAATTCAGTGACATCAAATTATCCATGAAAACGTTGCAACCCCAAATCAAAGGCAGTTGCCTAAAATTTCCGTTTTTGGACATTGCTAAAGCCAGTGTAAAACGCACACAAAATCACGCAGCTCGTAGACAGCACGTTACGGCGTTTTTGTACGGTAGAATCACAAGTAAATATGCCTATTTCTCAATTCACTGCATTGACATTTAAGGGGATCATGATTTTTGCAGTATCGGTGGATATGCCAAGCTAGCCCCCACTATTAAAAACCGGATATTGTTTTCCGCTTTTCTGATTTGCGTGTTATTAACAACTGAATTACCTTTTTATCGCTGTTTCAGCACAAAATAGCGTTAGACGTAGCTTCCGGGGCAATCGTATTTAACTACTGGCCTCTGCTCACACCTTTAAATTCGGTAGTCGCTATCACACCAACCAAGGGGTGAAACCCTACGCGTCCTTGTTGCACGTCGGTGCGTGGATATTCGAGACCTCTGGATGCTTCATCTCGCTTCCATTTATTGTGCACGATGGATCACATTTCGTATGGGTATCACATGATAGAGGTCCCTGAAACACCGGCGCGGTACACCTCTACCTGTGATATCATTTCTCTCTCACAATGTGCCTTGGATTGAAATGGGCATAGAGTCCAAACGGCGCTCTTCTCATGTGTGATTCGTGCCTCGACCGAAATGTAAAACAAGTCAATTCTTTGTAGTGTTGGCTGCACAAATTGCTTCATAAATACGGCATGTGGATTAAAGTGGGACAAAGTATCCAGATTGTTCTAAGCGAGGCACTGACTGAGAATTAATAAGTCGATTTGAAATGGTTTTATTACTTCTTTGCCATTTAAAGCACGTGGGGGCCTTACCACCAAAGCGGCCGCAATGCACCACCACCACCACTGTGCCCAGATCGAAAAAAGCAGCACTGAAGAGGCCCTCTGCCGACACCCCACCCGCGCCCCCACCGGCCAGACGACCCTCGGCGACGACGACGGCGGCGACAAAGATGCCCATCTGCGTGAACGCCGGCTCCGAGCCAACGGGTGCCGAGGCAGAGGAATATCGCTCGCGCCTCAACGAGCAGCGCAGACTAGCGCGTCAACGGAAGCAGGAAGAGGCTAAGCTGTAGGTCCCTCTGTGGTGGTTTCAACTGAGAAAAGCTAACCAATTCAACCATTTGTAGTTGCAAATGCACACCTTCGAGTAAATTCTTCCTCTGAGATCCGCCTTGATTGCGGTTTCATCATTTTTAAGTCTTATAGTTGTGGACCACGTGCTTTTATAGTTGTCAGAATTATTCGTACAAGGCTTCTAGTTATGAAGTTCTAACCATTGGTCTGTCAAGTGATTCGATTCACAAAACCGATGTTTGTTTGTGCTGTTTTCGATTAGATCAGATCATTGTGCGGCCACCAGATCGGCACTTGAATTTGACTGCGCTGTACTGTCGTTGTTTTCCACGCACAGCCTGGCTCTCTTGGCATGCCTTTCCACCGACCCCGCATGAGATGCACAAAGTCATTTTAACAGTCATGAATGACTTTTGACCACAGCTTGAAGCCTCAATGGCAGGCTGTGCTAGTGCTACTGTACTCGTCTTTAGCTTTGGGTAGGCCCCTCCTTGTGGTATCACATAGCACCAAGTCTTGATTATTCACAAGTCCACTGGATGCTTTGGTCTTTAGACATTGGTCAGGAATTTACGTGTTTACGTAGCCAACTAGGCAGTGGCAGACAATATCAGCTGCGTTGTGTGATTGTAAGGGACGAAAAAAAGGCATTGTAAAATGACTATGTGAGCTTGCGTTGATTGTCCTTTTACTTCTGTTGCTGAATGCGGAGTAGGCTAAGACAGATTCAGCTCCATCTTCGAGCCCTTCACTTGCTCAATTAACCAATGACAGCTAATTGGTTTAAACATCTTGCATTCTGCAGGAAGCAGGAGGAGGAGGAGGAGGAGATGGACAATCTGCTGCAAGAGGTGGCTCGCGCGATGGTTAATGAGGCCACCCATTCAGCCGTCGCAGAGGTCAAAGCCAAGGCAGTCGGGGTTGTCGATGGGGTGACGGTCGGAGCTACTGACAAGGCTGCCGAACGCCTGGCTTCACTGAAGTCCACAACAAGCAGCCTTAGCTCATTAGACTGGCATGATGAGGATAGACAGCTTCGGGAGTCGGCGACTGTGACTCCAAAGGGTGTTCCGGACAAGGCATCTGAACTGGTGACACTGCCGGCGAACACTGAGGTACTAGATGTAGCAGTAAACTTCCGCATCACATTCTAACCATCCACAAAGTGCTTTCCTTATGGACTAAACTCTGTCTACTGACTAGATGTAATTTGTGCTTTCATTCACTTTCTACATTGTTTTCAGTGCATCCAAGAATCCCAATCTGAGAACTTGACCGAACTGTCCGGCGCTCAGCCGGACGCCACGGAAAGAGAACACCGACGGAAACGTCTCAACCAGATCATGAGTCGCGTGCGAGCCCCCCAGAACAGCCTCGGCTCACAGAACGGAGGCGAGATTGCGCCCTCACCCCGGGTGCCTCTTGTCGTGCGTGTTAATGGCTCGGACTACGACCAGGCGAAGTCCTATTTGTTCCGGCCAAATGCCATTCAGTCGATTCTTGAGAGCGGACGATTGTCAAGCACCAGCAAGGCCGCCGCGCTTCTGCGAACTCGCCTCATTCCACCAGAACAGCAGCATCCACCTCGTAGGGGGCGTTTTTTGTGTTTACATTGCATTCGTAGACAATGTTGATAGTGTAAGCAGAACACTATGATGAGTAGGGAACAGCAACTTATATCATTTCCACAACTCCCTAAGGCGTAGCTGTACACGGATTATCTGACCACTACGACCACCACCACTCTTAAAATGATTATTTCGAAATCGGTAAAATGATCTTCTCTTTCAGTCGAACTGTGCTCACCTGCGACCGAATCGTCAAGTATCAGTGACTATGAACCGCTGGAAGTCAATGGTCGAGATCCCAATTTTCCAGGACCTGGCATAAGGTTGGTGATGGATAGTTGGAAAGGCCCTTCCGTGTTGGTGAAGTAGGCTAGTCCTAACGTTCCAGTGCTTGTTGCCAGTAAAATTGCTAGTACCCATTTCTGGAATATTGCTTAAAATATGTGCCAATGAAGTAGACTTTCATTAGACAGGTCAAAATGGTGTCAAGTGAGGTGATTTTGACAGAAGGAGAGGTTTCTTCAATCACGGTGTTACTTGAAGCAAAGACAACTTTCCACTTTTAGTTTGGAGACGTCTCAGGTCAAGCGGGCTGCCTCCTCGCCCTCTGACACCGGTCACGAGCAGGCGTCTCTCGAAGACACCCAGTGGGATCAGGCGTACACCTCCACCACCCCTGGCGTCTTCACCGACGCGGCGTACTTTCCAGCGAATGGGGTCACCCTTGCCCGCCCCAACTCGAGTTCCTCCGACGTTAGCACCACCGCAGGTCTACCAAATTAGCATTGTTGTAAGGTCCGTTGTTACAAAAATTGACCTTTGCCATCACAAATGATGCTTTTTAAAGCGGCCAGTACCTTCTACTTTCCGAAAGGCTTACCCACTTTAGGGTGTGATGCAATTCTCATAAGCAATTTCACATCGCAAATATTGCATTTGCGCACTACATAAGATCGACCTGCAAATAAATCTGAATTTCTACCTTCGTAGTTTTAGTGTGTCGAGGACTTAGTCCATATTTTTTTTTATCGATCACGCTAAAAGTTTGTTTCAAAGTCTTCGTTTTCTATCTTTGTTACAGGAAGCAGCTTTCACCTAGCCAATTAGCCCAACACAATGCCAAATCTCCTTGCTCTGTTTACCGGCCTGTCTGTCCAATGCGGCCTCAGCTTCTTTTGGAACAAAACACCTTCACTGCACAATCGTTGATTGCA